GGGGGGGGGGGGGGGGGGGGAAAGGGGGGGGGGGGGGGGGGGGGGGGGGGGGTACTACCACCGCCGTTCTGAGCGCTTGTTCCGATGCTTCTATTATACTGCTGCCGTGGTAGGACTGTTGGACCCGATGTTCGTCGCCAGTTCAGGCAAGACTTGACGGGTTTGCCCCCGTTCCCGCCCTCCCGCCGACAGACGGGGTCAAGTAAAAGTCCCGGCCGCAAAATGTTAAATTTACAACCCTGGTGGGCGCCCCCCCCCCCCCCGTGGCAGCACTAAGACTACTGTACCAAAAGAAAAAGCGCGAGCAAGCACGCACGCACCTTGCACCGAACCTCCACCTCTATCAGCTCCCCCAGAGTGGCCGCCTCTGCGCGCAGAATGTTCTCGTAACGTTCCGAGTCGCTGCAGCTGTCGGTGCCGTCGTCCGCCCACGTGAGGAGGAAATGGTGGTACCACCAGACGCTCTGGTCCGCCGGCTCCGTGAACATTGCCTGTCGTGTAGTGTTAGCATAGGGAGAGGTTGGATCCTATTGCGAGACTTTGGGTTCAATGGGCGAACCCCCGGCCCGATGCACTCGCTGAATGTACACGGAGCGCATCACTCACGCAAGCCACACTCTCTCGCAACACACCGCAAGACAGGCGTCCTTTTTCATTGTTCAACCGGTAGCGCGGTCGATGCCCGATCTTTAGAGAAAACACACATGTCATTTAACCCCCCCCCACACAAAGAGCCTGGTCCGGTGAGAACCCGGCGTGCTCCGTCCCGGCTTTGTAGGGATGCGAGGTCAATGGTCAAACGACTACGGCATGCACGACTATGAGTACACCCCACACACACACAGGTCAATGGTCAAACGACTACGGCATGCACGACTATGAGTACACCCCCCCCCCCCCCCCAGGTCCAATGGTCAAACCGCTGAGGGCATGCACGACTATGAGTACACCCCCCCCCCCCCCCCCCCCCCCCAACCCCATGTTGGGGGGGGGGGAAAACTTTTTGTTTTTCTCCGCCGGGGGGGAGGGGGGTTTTTTTTGGGGACACGCTGGGGGGGGGGGGGGGTATAGAAAAAAGAAAAACCCCGGGGACGGGGCGGGAAGGCGGGGCGCACAGGGGCGGCTTAGACGCGCCCAAAATAAGCCCAAAATTAACCGGGAGTCCTTGTGGGGGGGACAGAAAAGCCAAAACGAAAAAAAAGTCCTATCCGGGGGGGAGAGGAATGGGGTTGTTTTTGGGGGGGGGGGGAATTGCCCCAAAAGAAACCCAACAGGGGGTTTACTTCATTTTGCGAGACCCCCTCGGCGCCTCGGGGGGGGGGCCCC